TGATCTGCATATTTGATTTAGCTAAACGTTTTACGCCGGATGCCCTTCCTGACGCAACCCTCACCATTTATCCGGGCTTGGGACCGGCACTATAAACACGGCTTCGTGTACCCTAGTGGCTGGCTTACTACCACCACTACTACTACTACTAATAATAATAATAATAATAATAACAATAATTATTATGAGTATGAGTATTATTATTAATTGATTATAAATTTTAATTATTTCTGTGTTCCATATTTATGTCCACCAAGTAAATGTTTGTATTAGATATTATAATTATAATAAACTTTACTTTAAAGTAAGAAAAGTCATTGTACCGTGTTTAAAAATAAGTAAAATTAAATTTTTTATACAAACAATAGACAAATAAGACATAACAGATACACTACTATAGTTTCTAAAAATTGCGAGGTACTAAATATCTACTACAGCTGTGTCTTGCCTACACTTTTTTTCTGTTAAATATTTGATTATAAGTTACGTTAAGGTACGGCATGTCATACTACAGTAGTCTTAGAATTAAACACAGTAGCTGTGTTTTTTCATGGCAGGTAATATTTTCAACCGACATGAACTACTGTTAGTTAAGCTCCATTCCTGCCTCCTCAGGTTTCTGGAACCACGAGGATGTGACCAGGCCTTTTGTGTCTCAGGCCGTGATCACCGACGGCAACTTCTTCTCCTTCTTCTGCTACCAGCTGAACACAGTGGCCCTATCTGTAGAGACCGATGCCAACAACCCTAGGAAAAACGCCCTGTGGGGCACAGAGAGCCTCCGACTGTATGAGAGTGTGAAGGATGGAGAGGTGTTGGGCCTGGATGATGGAGTCATCAGGCTTCTCATCAGCTTCCTCATGAACAAACCGTAGACGTTGAATAGATCTGCTGACGATGGACTGCTATTGGAACACAACTGTATTCTTCAAAAACATTTCCAAAAAGAAGAAAAAATTGAACATGTTTCAGTTTGAACAATTACTGTGCAGAATATTTATGTTAAAATAAAAGTAAGTCTTCACAAAGTATTGTATGAATAATTGATTTTTTGAATTCCAGACTAAATCTTCATTCTTAAAATATTGATTGTATTTAGAATATATTCAAGTTATTTATGAAGACATTGTATAAATTACAATGGTCTTTGGGTTAGATCCTGCTGGGGTTTGGAGCTGTGATCTGTAAGGCAAGGATGATAACCACACATCCACTGTACCACGTGTTAAACTTTTTGGTAAAATTTTCCTTCAGATTAACTAACACAGCTTACAGAAACTCAATAGTTGACATGTTTAAATAGTTTTAATTTGCTTGTTGATGTACAGGCGATACATCAGCACTGACAAATATACGATTATTCAGGTTAATATACAGTTCATATGTTATTATTATGATCATTATGTGGAAATATATTATTGCTTGTTACAATCTGCTGATGTGTTGCATTACATCATTGGTTCCCACAGTAGAGGACGGGGGCCTATTTGTCCTACAGTGGAGAAAATGCATTCATTTGATTTTTTCTCCCTTTGTTCAGTCAGTGCAGATGTTTTTGTAAAATTTAGTAACGATTGCTTCAAAGAATAAAATATACAGTATGTGTGCATAAATGGAGCGGAAGCTTGGTGTACATATACAGTATGTTTTATATGTAAATAGACAGGATTAGGACTAATATTGTTTGCACAGTTCAGTCGGTACAAGGCACTAACCATGAATATCACACATAGACAACAAGTGGCAGGGATGTGATGTGAAAATGCATAAGAACAATTCTCAGTACCAAGAAAAAGATGGTTTGACGTGAAGTGAGAGTACACCGCTTCAACAGTTTCAACAGGACAACCACAGTCACTTGTAGGAGTGTCAGTATTGCTGTTAGCGCTAACATTTATATTTGTTTAAAGTTGTTGAGTAGACTAGACGGCAGCTTCTGCTCTTTAAGATTTGCGTTGTCTCACGGAGGAGCTCTCTGCTGACTCACTGTTTTCTCCCTGTGTCCTGATGAAAGACGTCAAAAGTTAAACGTTAAGGCAGTTGTGAAGAGTAATGAGGAAGTACACGTTTACAGTCACATTGATTCATAGAGCTTGACAAATACTACACAAACCAGACATTTTTAAAACATTTCAATGGATGTCACTAACATTAGCAGTGGTTTGTAAAGTAGTTACAAATTAGGAAAATGTCAAGATCAAGAAAAGGTCAAGAAAATGTCAGAAGTTTGACTTTCTACATGCCAGCGACCCGAATGGTCCAACTGTATTGAGTTCAAGTTACACCAGTGGTTCCCAAGCAGAAGACAGGACTATTACTATTATTTGAGACCCCGTGTCAGCATTCACAAAACTACCAAATCGCCACTGAACTTAACCTGAAACACAGTATTGCTTCCAAAACTGATTTTCTGATTAAAAAAAGGAAATAATTAACAAATATAATTTTCAAAATGTCATAGATAATACTGCAATAAAAATCTATTTACCATTTTAGGACTCCCCACCCAGCGAGGGTTCTGCACCTAGTAGGGGGCCCGCCCCCCACCTTGGGAACCACCGTGTAAAGATGGTAACTCGTTTAATGCTATGGTCACTGCTACTTTTTAACTTTTACAGGTAATGTTGACGCCAATTAGAGACAGAGACTCTAAGAGACTGAGCGACTCACAGTGTGTTGGTTTGGTCGGTGTTAGTGTTGTCACCTGAGAATGAAGCAGAGAGTTTGCTGTTAGGTTACTACCTGCCACCTGCCACAGAGCCTATCGTTACATACAGAGGCTGTCAGTGTGTTAGATGTCACCTCCAGCTGCACCCTTCTTGGCCTGGCTTCTCTCGTAGAGCAGAATGGCAGCCACCAGCAGCACCACTTCCACCAGGATGACAATGAAAGGCTTCAGAGGTTCCAATAGCGTGATGACCTGCAACAGCCACAAGGTTTTTTTTACAGCCATTGTAGTATATGAGTTGGGGCTGGCAGGGAGAACAAATGTTGTGAATTTAATTGCCACAAAGTCTAGGTGTCACTTTTTCTTAAACCTGTTCCTACCAGATATATGAAAGGCCATTGTTAGACATGTACTTTTTGACCAACCTTACATAAAGAATAACTTTCGAGCACTGACCCTGAGCTCCACATGGGCCATTGTGGTGCTGACAGCGTAGACGGCTTCACAGTAATACAGACCAGAGTCTGCCTCCGTCAGCTTGTGAACCAACAATTTACTCTCCCCCTTTTTGATTTCTATCTCATACCTTTGAGGCTGAACAACAATCTGCTCCTGCAAAACAAAGGCAAAATGAAAGTGCTCCACTTTAACAACGTCATTGTCTGACTTTTAAGAAATGATTGGTGTCATTTTCTTTTTCTGACATGCAATGACAATTATCCCAGGGTTTCAGTGAAGGGATTTTTTTTTAAGGAAATGGTTTTTCCTAAGATACTAAAAATTTGGGATGTCCAAAAAAATGCCAACCAATATTATCGGTTGATGTTAGCATAATTATGTAATATCGGTAAAAATTGGTTATCGTTTTTTCTTCCAATAATGAAAACCCGATAACGCAATGTTTGGGTTTTGCCGAAATGGTGTGACCTTAAAAAAACCTTAATGTTTTGAAGTGACAGTGAAGGTTAATTATTTTCACTGTGATACAGTGTGTGTACTCTGCCTTTTACCCAGGCGGCTGTATATATCGGTATTGCTTGATATCAGGAATATCAGCAAAAAGTTAATGTCGGACGTCCCTACTAAAATTATAATAGTGTAGTACAAAGAATGAAGAGGCGTGTATCTTATTTACTTTCTCCGTGCCATTGACTGTGTACCAGTTCCAGGAAACAGGTTTTGGTTTGGTTTCATCCATTTTACAGGGAATCACCACAGAATCCCCCACATAACTGACAATGGGCTTGTCTCGCACCTCCCCAATCTGTGGGCCTGGAGGAAGACATAAACAGACAGAGGGTTTCACAAGTGCAAAATAGTAAATAGAAATACAGAATGGTTGAAGATGATAACATTGAATTTAAACCACATAGCAATAAGCCGAGGTACGAAAAGGAGAGAATGCGTACCTGCCAAAATGAAATCAACTTTAGCTTCATTTTCGAATAAACAGGAATAATTTCCAAGGTTTTCTTTACTGGCAATACTGAACCTGTCAGATAGAAATGACATTTAATAAAATACGTTTTATCAATATTAATGTATGCTTTTCTGTCAAATCCAAACTGATCTCAGCAGATTTGGATTTGACCCTGGAACCTTCAGTAATGCATGACCTCAATAAAAGTTAGATTTTCTGCATAATACTGTAAAGAAACAACAGTGTTGTTAACATAGTGTCATGCTTTATGCTCAGTGAAAAAAAAAATCAATGTTTTTTTCTTTGAAAAAGAAAAAGTTTATGTGTTCAGCCCATAGGAATCAGTGTACTACCACAGGTCACCTCAGGGCATTTTCTTTTAACCATATAATCTTACGTCATCTATTTACATCAGGGGTCTAAAACCCAAATCAGCTAGGGTATCACTAAAGGCCCAAAAATTAACAGCAGGGGCTCAAATTACATTATAAATGATCTAGTTGCAGGCCGCATGTGGGCCCTTTGCGGTCTGAAAGTGTCCCACGGGCCAGAAGTTTGACACCCCTGATTTTCATTTTCTATGTTTGTCATGGGATTTGAGATGGGAATTGGGATGTGTATGACTCAGAACAGGATTAATCTTAAATAAATAAGTAATTATAATTAATAATAAAAATGAAGGTTTGGGGCATTTTAATAATTATATTAAAAGTTATTCCAACTTAAAGGAACTGCCTCAAACTGCCTCTGTTTACCTGAATGAACATGCAGTGGCATGTTGTTGACATTGGAGTTACAACCAATGTTCACTGTCTTGTTGGTTGAAAGTAAACATTAGAAAATACAGTCATTGAATACCTCATTGAAAACTATATATTTTTTCTTCTACACCTAAAAACACTCACACTCTCCTCAGAACATATTTCTCCTTCTGCTGTTGCACTGTGACTTGAGTGTTCTCAATTTCCTGTCCGTCTTTCCTCCAGTAACCAGTCAGGTTTGCTGCTCTGTTCACATCGCCGCTCCAAGTGCACTCGAGCACGAGCTCCACCGGATTCAGCAGCTCAACTTTCTCTGTGTGACTTTTCCCTGTTGGTGGAGAATGGTGGCGCTGTTATGAACACTTTAACATGAAGTGATCACACATCCTCAGACATGAAAACAACAAGTTTAGACCAGTGGTTCCCAAATTTTTCTACTCTGTACCACCTGAGAAAACCTTGATCTCTCTGAGTACCACCATGATGACCAACATTAGAATATAGCAGCATAGACCTTCACTGTTAGCTTCCACCACAGAGGAGAGATGTTTAGAAATGTTTAGAAAGATGTTTATGTTTAAATGTTGTATTAATTGTACATATTATGTTTCAGATTTATTCAATTGAAAATGAAAAATATGAATTTTCCCCTTGTACCGCTAGAGAGTGCTCACGTACCACTTGTGGTTCACGTACCACAGTTTGAGAACCACTAGTTTAGTGATCACATTATTATAACCTGGTCATTGAAGGGGTTAGCTGTTAATGTACCATAAAATGGTGATGTTAATATGCATCAAACTAAGACAGGGAAGAAAATCACACTTTTGTAAATGTAGCTATATTACAATGAAGGACTGAAACGAATTACCTTTAAGTTCAACACTTCTCACATCTGTTGGCAGAGGGCTGATGGGAACCATGGGGGGAGTTGTCGGCCCTGTTGTCTCTGGCAGCAAAGTCATTCATGTATGAACATTCATATACAAGTTGAATTGGCTGTTACATTTTTGTATATTTAACCACTTTATAGGCGAACACATGGTGATTAAGTTCAGGGTTTTATTGGTTGGTTTCAGTGTCCCATCAAATGTATGTTAAATGCTGTCTGATGGGATGAAGGTCCAGGTGATAAATGTAAAATATGTGAAAACCAAAAACATTAAACACCTGCAACTGTTTGCAATTTCTGACTATTTCAACCCCAATGACATTGTCTGTTTGTAATCAAGGTTAAAAATGCATGGGTATAAATTAAGTAGTCAGACCAGAGCCTGGACAAAAACTGTGTAAAGTTAAAACATAATTTACTTGTATGGATGTTTCTGAAGGAGGCGAGAAGAAGAACGGTCGGAAACAGGAGTCTCTCCCATGAAGCTGACATGATTAGAATCCTCTCTGTCCTCTCTGCACCCACCTCTCTCTCAGACTCTTTCTCTCTCTCTCTCTTCAACTGTTTTCTACTGCATCGCTCTAATTCTCCTCCCCCACAAGTGACGCAGTCGTGATATCACACTGCAGCCCGAGGGTTTCTGAGCGACTTCATCCATTATTTAGTCACACTCAGATTCTGGGGCTGTGCTGCAGTGTCTCCTGGTCACCACTGCAAGAACCCAATGTGTCCAAACCACTTTTTTTTTTTACATCAAAACAGCACAGAGTCAGCAGGAGTGAAAATATTAGCTTTCATTCCAGCCTTCTTCTGACATGATGTTACAGCGGAGCTCTCTGCAAGGTGCCCTGTCCTGTTCTAAGGCCTGTTGTCCTGGCTGCTCAAGGTCACATGATCTCCCTGCCATTATGAAAACAATCAGCTGTGGGAACAGGCTGAATGCTGAAGTCTACACAGTTGATAACTCATACTACTGCTACTATGACTATTGCTAATTATACTAATAATCATACTGTTATTATTATTATTACTACTACTAATAATAATAATAATACATATACAGCATTTCATGTTGTATTAAGCTCAAATCAATGAGCTCAAGCTCAATGTCAAGTTAAGTAAAAAAAAAATGTTTAAAAGTGTTTAAAGTCTTCCTACAATATATATATATATATATATAAGTCTTAATTCTTACTCAAAATTTACACAGAAACGTTAGAATTCTGACAGTAACTGGAATAAAACAATCAATTACGTCATCACAATAAACAAAGTAAAGTTGCCTGTACTCCTGTGAACCATAGGAGTCCTCCATGTAGAACAGCATGTTTGGTTCTCCTCACCCCCCATCGCAGGAATTTACACCAACAACACTGAGTTGAACAGGACAGTTGAAGGTCCACGTGAAGGTTAAGAGGTCACAAACGTAACATTATACAGTATCACTGCAATTGATTTCCATCATGGTTTTCTTTGACTGTGCTAATACAGATGATATTAACAACATAGGTTGATATTTATCTCTTGTGCTTTTAACTTTCTAATTTGAAAAAAACAAAAACTCGTTTTAGATAGAGCATAAGTCAATGCATGACTTATGCTCTATTGTGTGTACTTCTCCATGTTGTTTACCCCACTCAGCCCCTTGTAGTAACAATGAGAATGCATCCTGGGGTCATAGGATTTGTTTGTCCCCATTACACTCGGCTTGTAACCGAGCTCTAACCAGTGATCTTCTTGTTGTGGGTCAAACACATTAACTGTTATTTCACTATGTCGCCAGGAACTGCAATTAATCTATCGTGTTATGTTATTTAAACTGTCCAGCAGAGGGAGTCAGTGCTGACTCTGCCTCATCTGGTGTGTTGTTTAGAAAGACATCATCACATATTTTAGCAACGTGCTTATTTATTAAAGCCGGTAAAATAATGCCAACATCCTAGAACTACAACAATGCCAATGCCCACGTGACTTCACATTTATTCATCTCTTGTATTTCTATAAAAATGTATTTTCTAATGGTTACCACATGTTACATGAAAGAGCAGCAGTGTTTCTAAAACATTTTTTTAAAACATCTATACCTAACACCCGTATGTACTAGACCAATCTACCGGCCTAAAGCTGTAGACTGTTGATGAATGCAGTCTGCAGTTCATTTATGTCATCACTGGCTTCTATGGGGATGCTGAACCTGCCAGGTGAGCTGGACAGCCCACCGGATGAATGGTGCAAGGGCTCAGAGTGACACTGGCCGAGGTTTACTGCCCCCTGGTGATGCTCGTAAACGTCCATGTAGAAGGGTTGTGGGGAGAGGCGATTGGGATCCTGGGCCTGGTGCAGGCCGTGATGATGATGGAGGAAATGGTCCGGTCTGGGGCTGTGACACGGACTCTGAGACGGGCTGTGGGGCATCAGGCAGGTTTGCAGGCAGCTGTTCCTACGCATGGCACGATGCAGGTCGAGTCGAGCGATCAGTGGCTTTCCAATGTTTATAGCTTTGTTCCAGTGAACGGGATCATCCTCCATGGCTGAGAACGTGCCCTGAAGGCACACACTGAACACCAGCTCCTCCTGCAGGAGAGGAAGAAGGAGAACAGTGTAGATGTGTAGTGTAGTTTTTATAGCACAGCACATGATTCCTTGCATTGGGCACATAGGCTCTATAATGGCTCAGAATAATTGCATTAACATTTCAGGGCGCTAGATGGCGCCAAACAACAATCTTTTCTAGAGCACCACAACGGCTAGAGCTCACCCTATATACAGTACAGTAATATGGTATGGTATGGTATGGTATGGTATGGTATGGTATAGTATAGTATAGTACAGTGTATTTTACTAGAGTACAGTATAATATGCTAATCAGTAGTATAGTATACTGCACTATAGTACAGTGCAGTACAGCATGCCCCCATGTAGTATAGCATGGCAAAACATTTTGTAATATAAAAAATACTGAAAAAAATGCTGAAAACCCAGCAGTTTAAATTAAAAAAAGAACGGGACTTGTTTTGTTAGGACATCATTAATCAGTAAAGACGTCAGGTTATGATGTCATTTCCCAAATGTGTCGATCACACTTGTCTTACCCTGAGTTTCTGCAGGGAGCTGAGTCTGGTGTAGAGACAGTGCTGAGGTAGGCTGCCGGACAGGAAGTAGGTCCCTGTCTCCTCCGGAGTTTCTCTGTTCATCTCTTTGGGATCCACATCCAGGTCCTACAGGGGGAGAAGGTTGTAAAGAATGTAGTAGCACAGTCATATATTCACATTAGTACTCTAAATGCGTTACCACCCTGGGTTCATGACTGACCTGTGAGAAGTCTGTGACATGAGCCTGGCAGACGGACATGTCCTCAGGTTTCTTAGTGATGTGAGTGTAAATGACCAGAACGTTGGAGAACTCAGCAGCGAAGCCTAACTTGATCTGAGCCCCACAGTCAAAGAGGAGACTCATGCTCTCAGGAAGCTCTGGAGTAATACACAGAGCACTTTGTGGTACTTTTGTTTTTACATATTTTCTTTACATATGTAAAAACAAAAGTTTTTACATATATATAAATAATATATAACAGGCTTTATTAATAGCAGTAATCATCATGACTTACAAGCAGGAAGTAAGACAAGAGTTATGAATGAGTCCATGCGTCAGCAACAGCTGAATAACTTCACTTGGAAAGTACGGACACCTCCCTGGTGTCATAGTGGTGTCATACAGTTTTTTAAACTCACCGTGAGCTTTTGCCCACTGTCGGCTGTGAGCGTGGGCGAGATCAGGACTGTCACTAGGCATGATGGAATCAGTCAGAGCTCTTCTCTCTGATAAGCTGCTGCGGATTTCCAGCGCCTGTTTCCCCTTGGTAGCATCAAACTGTCCCATATCTGCATACAAACATCAGAGGGTAAGTAACATACAGTATGTATCAATCAAAACTGGGCCTATCTACTGCATTTGGAATAAATAAAGACACTTTTAGGAAGTAGAAATTTTTGTATTTTAGTTTTAGTTTATAGTTTTAGTTTTAGTTCATATTCATATGGAAGCAGAATATTTGTTTTTATTTCATATTCAAATGTTTACAGTCATGGTCAAGAAAAATCAACACTTCTAGATACCAATTAGTTTGACCTGAAAATGTATTTACAATAATATGATTATATTTAGGTCTTATTTGTACCTAGACAAAAAAACTTAAGTTTTAATTTTTTTTATTTTCTCTGTTTCTCTTCTCACCCTCAGCCACTTTGTCCAGCACCACTGTGATCTTCTCGTCATCCAGAAGTCGCTTTTTCAAGAACTTGACAAACACCCCATTGGTGAAGCCGCTGGAGCTCAACTCAAAGGCCTCTGCGTCCTGGCATCTGCGTAGTCAAGTCGAGGAAATATTAACAGATAATAACGCAATATTTGGTTTTCATGGTAATATGTTTTTTTTCCAGAAATGAATGAAGAACTGGAATTTCCAGCGTACGTTGCGTAGCCAAAGACAATGTTGGCTGTGACCCTCAGGACAATGTTGGTTGTGCTGTCGTCGTGGATGTTCCTGGAAAAACAATTATAATTATTACAAAAAAACCTAATTCAAGTCAACACCTCATAGAGGGTCAGAAATCCACGTTATAATTTAGAAACAACTGACAACAAAGACAAGTTAAAAATAACATTTTATCACAAGCTGTGATTTAGCTTCAGCAACAAGTCTTGAAGGTTTGATAATTATTTTCCAGACATCTGTGTAAAACTTACATAAAAAGAAGCTTCTAGACAAAGATTAAGAACCCACAGCCTGACCTCTCACCTCTTCCTGCACATGTCCAAGAGAAAAACGTTGAGGCCTGTTTCCTTCTCCTGCATCAGTTTGAGGATGCTCTGAACACATAGACAGTTGGCCGATCGATACGGGTTGGGTGCATCCACAGGCACCATGAAACTGTTTCCGTAGTTCTCATATCCATGACCAGCGTAATACAGGAGACCTGCAAGTGGCAGAAGTTCTTTCCACTACTCTGGCAGAATGATCAGGAGGAATATGTGTTAAAGTAAAACTCCAACAGACCATAGACCCCTTTGTGGAGCAGCAGGAGGAACTCGTCGACTGCGTTCCTCATCTCGGACTCCGTGAGGTCCAACAGTGACACCACCTTGAAGTCCAGCTGCCGCAGGAGGTTGGTGAGGTCGTAGACGTCCACCATTGGAGCTTTGAGCTGTGGGTGGTTCTTGTAGGACAAATTGCCGATGAGCAAGGCAACTTTATCAGTGGCTGGAAGAAAAATAAATCACATTCACACGTTATAATCAATATATCTGCAGAGCACATTTAAGCACAGTGTATGTAAGTGTTTTAACACCAGAGGAGGCAGTGTTTACTGCTAGCCAAAAGCGTAAATCAGAACTATTGAATAATTAATTTAATTGGGCCACGTCCGTTAGTGAATTAAAAAAAAAGAAAAGGCGTTTTTTCTGTACGTGAGTGTAAACTCACTTGGAAGTACTGTGCATATTTTTTTACTTTGCCCCAAATATCAACCTCTGCATTTACACCAGGCCAAAGTTTTAACCCAAAATGTGTTCACAGTAGTCTGCAGTAGACAAAGGTATGTCAGTATCTCAGTGTTAACTGGAGGTAATCTCACCTACAACCCTATTTGGACAGTGGTGTGTTCTAAGTGATAGATGCTATCTATCTATCTAATCACATGTAACAGACGAAGTATGATATTTATTGTGTTGCATGACGCCGCCAGTAGATGTCACTAATGATAAGACACAGCCTTCACAATATTTCTTGTGTAGATTAGAGTCAGCTACTGTTGATAAAAATCACAGTTACCAGTTCAAGCCTGCAGGAAGGAAGTGGGTTAAAGTGCACTCACAACCAAACACAACGGTGCTGACAAGAGAGTTCAATTTAATGTGACTCTACTCGTAGTTAAAATTAGTCATTCTCTAGTGCTGTTTGAATTAATTTTTACTTCACAGGAAGGGTTTCGGGAGAGGAAGGGGGAACAGTAAGTTTTCTTCATTCAGTGTAACTACTGATGTATAAACCACCATTATAGGAATGTTAGCATTTCTTGTTGTATTGTATTAAAACTCAACTCCATGATTTAATAATGATCTTTAATCATAGGATGTTGTTTCACCATCAAATCAAATTTGACGCACTTCACATCAATGTTAATGTCCTCCCCCCCAATGTTTGGGCATCGATGAGTTCAGTTTTGTGAGTAGATTTTTCTCAACTGTGTTCAGTTGGAGTTGTTTGTTATTTCACGATGCCAGAATTATTTGGTTGGATTCACTGCTTCTAGGCCAGTCACGGTCAGGCACTCTGTCTCCACAAAACATTTGGAATTTGTGGAGAATCCTTTTTTTTTCTAGTTTTTATTTTATCACAAGGAGCTGAACCAACTCTTTGGAAAATGATGTACAGTACGTTGTATGTTACCAGGCAACCAGTTTCACATCCTGTTTTTAGATGACAGACGTCAGAGCTCATGAAACGACAGCTTTCATACAGTTAGTTGACAGGTTAACACCTTAATTACTGATGCAGTGTGTGGTATAGGTACATACCGTGAAGTTGTTCTGGAACACTATTCAGGAAAAAGTCGTTGGAGCCTGAAGTAAACACAAGGCAGTATTTGGTTGAATACTGGTGCTGGTAATACATACAGTACATGTTACTGCACGTACAAAAACACTCAATGAGACTCACCGCCTGCAATGGCATAGAAATCATCTAGAGATTATAGAAATAGAAACATACACAACATCATGTGAGATTAACAACATTATAATTTTTTTTTCCATCTATAGTGATAGATTAGTGATAGATTATTCTATTAGTGAGAAAATTAATCAAAGTAAGATTAGAGCTCACACCAATGGCACCGTTTATCCACTGAGTGAGTTTGGAGATTAGTAGGAGTGACAATTATTTTCCTTGTAAATGAATCCTGGGAAAAGTCTACTGTGAGTTTGTCCTTCGGTGTTTCCCCACTTCCCCTCCCCATCTGCTGAATTTATGAGTTTCCATTTAGGACATCAATGTTGACATCACAAATACAGTTTGTGATGTTATGTCTGTAATAAATGTGACTGAGTATATACCCTGGTGGATCAATAAAGTAATTGTTGGTGGCTGTATTAGAGCACGACTGGAAGGTGGCATTAGTGGATGTACAGTTAGTGTCATTTTGCCCATGTTTTAGAATTACAATTGCAAGTGTGTTTTACATGATCTCATGATTAATCATGATTAGTTGCAATCAAAATAATCCAGATTAATCATGATTAACCCACAGATACCATGCAATTAATCATGTTAAAAGTTGTCATTTATTGACAGCCCCAACATCTACATATATGCAATATTACAGTCCTTTACCTGCTGTTGTTAGAGAAAAACAGACAATTAAAAAGTCATGCATGTAAATATTGCAAATCACAGCATCCAAACACCATTTCTGTTAGGTTCCTTATGATTTAATGACTGGGTTAGAGCTAACGTGATTAGCATGCAGTTCATTGTTTACTATTAGCTCTCTGCTATTCATCACACTAGGGTCCAGGCACTTCAACTCTACCTTCAGAGCACTCCATTGCTCCTGAAACCTGGACTGATATCCTTGGTACTTTTAGCCAAAAACAAACAAATAATACCCATAAAATTAGACCTACTTTTATTGAGCTGTGACAACAACAAAAAAAGAATTGTACTGAAGTGTGACCCACCTACTACAACGTCAACTTCGTTGGTCCACATTTTCTCAGAGCCGCAGACGATCTCACAGCGATACCTGGCATGGTGTTCTTGGTCCACGTTAAGAATCTGAAATGTACACAGTTGTGTTCGGTCAGGCCATATTTAGATACATTTTAATGCCATGTAACATTACAATAGCTGTTTTAGAATTTGATGGTGACACAATATATTTTTTCTAAACATTTTTGTGAAAAGAAGATTTCTCCTAACTATGAGTTTCCTTTTGGTTGCATTAGGAACAGGAAGTCCATTTTTGTGCCAGCGGTATTGAGGGATGGGACGTCCAACGGCTCCACACTCCAACTGAAGGTTGTCTCCTATGTTTAGCTGCTGAGGCTGAGGCTGCATCACTAACTTCATTCGACTTTCTAAAGAGTGAAAACTCTGTCCTGGTGCAGAACAGACATTATTTATCACAGTGAGTTGTAAATATTAACAAATACTTTGTTGACTTTACATGAAAACATGTTCTCAGCGACACCTTACCATAAGGTGTGTGGACAGTTAAGACGTCCACCTGAGCCCAGTGACTGAATTCAAACATCTCTCCACAGTTGACCCTGCAGATGTAAAATCCAGCATCTCTGACATGGACCGGACTTATCAGCAGGTCTGGAGACATGCAGTTTGGCACCTGGGGTTGTGAAAATGTTAAATATAT